CCTGAAAGGGGTGGCAAAGACAGAGTTGAGTTTTTGAAAAACCAAATGAGTTCCTGGTTGGAACTTTATTTTTCATGGATTGTGAAGATACAGTTTTCAAAGTAGAGATACTGGATTGTGAGAGCCATGTTTTTGAGAGAAAAGTAGACCTTTGGAGTTTTAAGCCTGGTTTTTGATATTAAGAGCTAAGGAGGCTAGAGGACTCAGAGGACAAGACTGATACCAGAAGCAGTAGCACAGGGAAGAACGCACAAGACTGTCAAAGTAATTTCCGGGGATAGATTTAGTGTAAATTGTGGGAGCAATGAGAACTGAGAAAAGTAAGTACGAGTTGGGAGTTGATAAGAATATTTGAGAGGGCTTTGAGCTTTTCCCCACCAATGGTGGGATTTTGCAGTGGGCCAGAACTCAACTAATTTCTCAGCTCATATAGGACTCCACTGGTGCCCACCCAGATCCCCTTCACTTACAGAGGCCCCATCGCAAAGCTGCTCCAAGTTTTGTTTGCTGAGGCCCTTAGCTAGCCCCTTCTCAGAGAATTGCCTTCACCCAATAGGTATTGCTTCTCCCGCGATAGCACACTTCTCCACCTGTGCTTCTAAGAGGCCGCCTACAGCCAATGATTGATTGATTAAGGATACTTAAGCCCAGCTCCCTTGCCTCAAGGTGAAAGAAGTCTGTGGTGCTATTCACTTTCCACAGTGACCCTTGGAACTGCAGTGAGGCTGGACTTCAGCTAAAACCACACCACTTTTTTTCTAAGTTCTTTCTCTTCTCCTCCTTGCTTCTCTCACTCCCTCATAGTAACACTTCAGGGTTATTATAAATTCAAAAAATTAACTTTATGCCTCTGTAACTAAATTTGACTTTGCATCACTTTCTACTGTTATCAGAAAACCTAATCTTGCTCAATCAAATTCAGTCACTTCTGGTTTAAATTCCATTAGGATTCCACTTCCATCTCTGCTTCTCCCTATTCTGAGATTGGAGAATGGGGGTATTGGATATAAACTTTTGTTGGCTTATATTTTCTTCCACGGACCTACATGGGAAGCAGTACAGAAGTACTGTACCACACAGGGAGTTGGGTGCCTGTGATTTAATGGTGCACTGCTTCTCATATGGCTTGGGGTAGAACGGGATGAAGGGGGCTTAGCCTCAACACAAATTCACCCTTTATCTTTTGAATCCCTGAGTGTCACCCAGATTCCATTCCATTGATAACAGCTAAGTTACATGAGTTTCCTAGTCAGCCTCTGCCCATGAAATGCATTCCTATCTCTCTTCCCACCTCTCTGTTGCCTTGAATAAAAATGCTTGTTTAAAATTGGAAGGCTTTGACTTATGAAAATCTATTTCTTTGACTCTGCTTGAAAATGCACAAAAGATAATCTCACGTATTTGCATCAAATGCTCCATCTTTTTTCTTTATGAGATCTCTTGCTCATCTTCAGGTGAAAAATTTTGATTGCTTTTTTTTATTGGTGTGGAAAATAGAAAAGGGAGACATGTTTTCCACACTGTCAGGTTTCAAAACTCTTAGTTATGCTAGTCAGTCATAGAAATAAACAGCTTTAAATTATTTTCATGCATATTTATATCCACACAGCAAAAAGTAAGTCAAGGAAGTGTTTTCTGTGTGAAGGTCAAGTGAATTAATTAATAGCTTCCTAGATATTGGTAAAATTTCATTTGACTCTTTCTTAAAGGTTGTAAATGGATTCCCTGTTATAGTATTGCATTGAATCATGATGATGGATCATCAGCAAAATGCCTGACTGGACCCTGGGATTAGGGGATTGGAAAATTGACAGGAGTTTCAATACTGTATCTCAGTGCCTTCTCGGGTAGCTGTTCAGGAAAGCAAGGCAAATCTTTGTTTTTGTCTTGGGTTGTGTGGTTTTCTATTGTTTTAATTATTAAATAAATCAGACGGACAAAATTTATAAAGGAAAAAACTAGTGGGCCCTTGTGTGCCCACCAACCAACTTAGACTATAAAGTTTTAAATATTCATCCCTCATCCCATTTCCCATATGTTTTTCTTCTTTCAAAGAAGCTACTAGCTTGTGATGTTTATGATTTCTACTCATAGGTAATAATTCTACTTATGTATCAATCAATAACATACAGGATTCTATTTTATGCTTTTAACCTTAAATGTTATCTACATATGGTGTTTCCTTCCACATTATAATATTGTTTTTTAAATTCACATCACTAGATCCAACACTCATATTCACTTCTGTGTAGTGTTTCATCGTAAGATGAATCCATCCTCTTTTTAAAATTTTTTTTTATTTTTAATTTTTATGAATACATAGTAAATGTGTATATTTATAGGATACATGAGATACTTTAATACAGGCATGCAATGCATAATAATCATATCAGGGCAAGAAAGGTATCCATCACCTCAAGCATTTATCATTTCTTTGTGTTACAAACAATCCAATTATATACTTTCAGTTATTTCTAAATGTACAATAAATTGTTAACTATAGTCCTCCCGTTGTAATATAAATGATGACCTTATTTATTCTATCTAACTCTATTTTTATATCTGTTAACTATCCCCCGCACCCCTCACTACCCTTCCCAACCTCTGGTAACCTTTATTCTACTCTCAATCTCCATGAGTTCAATTGCTTTAATGTTTAGCTCCCCCAAATGAATGAGAACATGCAAAATTTGTCTTTCTGTACCTGACTTATTTCACTTAATATAATGTCATCTAGTTCCATCCATGTTGCAAATGACAGGATATCATTCTTTTATATGACTAAATAGTGCTCTATACATACCACATTTCCTTTATCCATTTGTCTGTCGATGGACATTTAAGTTGCTTGGTAGTGCTTCAATAAATGTGGGAGTGCAGATATCTCTTCAGTGTCCTATTTCCTTTCTTTTGGGTATACCTAGCAATAGGATTGCTGAATCATATGAGAATTTTAGTTTTAGTTTTTTGAGGAACTTCCAAACTGTTCTCCATAGTGGTTGTACTAATTTACATTTCCATGATTGGTGTATGAGGGTTCTCTTTTTTCCACACTGTCTCCCGCATTTGTCGTTGGCTGTTTTTAGATAAAAGTCATTTTAACTGGGGCGAGATTATATCTCATTGTAGTTTTCATTTGCATTTCTCTGATGATCAATGATGTTTAGCACCTTTTCACACATCTGGTTGCCGTTCGTATGTCTTCTTTTGAAAAATATCTATTCCTGTATTCTGTTCATTTTAAAATCAGATTATTAGATTTTTTTGCTATTGAGTTGTTTGAGGCTCCTTATATATTCTGGTTATTAATTCCTTGTCAGATAGTTTGCAAATATTTTCTGTGGGCTGTCTGTTCACTTTGTTGACTATCTGTGGTGCAGAAGCTTTTTAACTTAATGTGATCCCATTTTTCCACTTTTGCTTTTGTTGCCTGTGTTTTGGGGTTATTACTTAAAAAGTGTTTGTCCATGCCAACATCCTGGACAGTTTCCCCCAACATTTTCTTTTAGTCTTAATAGTTTTAGAGTTTGAAGTCTTAGCTTTCAGTATTTAATTCATTTTAACTTTACTTTTGTATATGTTAAAAGATATGGGTCTAGTTTCATTCTTCTGCATATGGATATTCAGTTTTCCCAGCACTATTTATTGAAGAGACAGACTGTCCTTTCCCCAATGTATATTCTTGGCACCTTGTCAGAAAAGAGTTTGCTGTGAATGTATGAATTTATTTCTGGGTTCTATGTCTGTTCCATCAGTCTATGTGTCTCTTTTTATGCCAGTACTATGCTTTTTTGGTTACTATAGCTCTGTAGTATAATTTGAATTCAGGTAACATGACTCCTCTAGCTTTGTTCTTTTTGCTCAAAATGGCTTTAGCTATTTCGGGTCTTTTGTGGTTGCATATACATTTTAGGATTTTTTTTTTCCTACTTCTGTGAAGAATGACATTGGTATTTTGATAGGAATTGTATTGAATCTGTACATTACTTTGGGTAGTATGGATATTTTAACATTGAATCTTTTAATCCATGAACATAAAATATTTTTTCTGTTATTTGCATTCTTTTCAATGTCTTTCATCATTGTTTTATACTTTATGTTGTAAAGATCTTTCAACTTTTTGGTTGAGTTTAATTGCCAGTTTTTTTTTTTTTTTTTGGTAGTTATTGTAAATGGATTGCTTCTTTATTTCTTTTTCAGATTGTTCATTGTTGGCATATATAAATGCTACTAATTTTTGTATGTTGATTTTATATCCTGCGATTTTACTAAATTTGTGTATCAGTTCTAAGGTTTTTTTGGTGGAGTCTTTGTTTTTTTCCAAATATAAGATTGTATTATTTGCAAACAAGGATAATTTGACTTCTTTCTTTCAAATTTGGATGCCCTTTATTTTCTTCTCTTGCCTGATTGCTCTAGCTAGGACATCAAGATTTATTCTCTCAATGATCACTGAGAGATTGAGGCTGTTTCCACTTTTTGCTACTGTAAATAATGCATGAATGATAATTTTACATCTCTCTTATGTTTATTGGCAATAGACTTTCTAGAATACGTGTTGTCAATTTTACTAGTTACTGCCAAAGTTTTCCAAAATGAGGGCACCAGTTTGTTCTATCACAATTAGTGTAGGAGATTCTCATCATTCCATCTTCTTAGCAAAATCTGTTATACACTACTTTTTACTGAACTAATGGGTATATAATTGTTTTTCACAGCTGTTTTAATTTCAATTTCTTGGATTATACCTAATGTTAGGCAACTTTTCATATATTTATTGGGCATTACTTTCTTCTTGCTTGTGAATTGCTTGCTTATATATTTTCTTAATGCCTAATTTAATTTAATTTTCTTCTTATTGAGTTGTCATCATTTATATATCATATATATATCATATATATATCTTTGTAGTAAGCCTGATAACTTATATTCATTCAAATATTGTCTTGATCTCTGGTTTACATTTTACTTGGTGTAGAGTATCTCATGAAGCATTTATCTGTTTTTATTTATGAAGTTTTTATTTATTGTATCAGTTATATATTGCCTTATAACAACACACTCTAAAATTCAGTAGCGTAGATTATTTGTTTGCTCCATTCTGTGGACTGGCAGTATGGGCAGGAATCATGCCTGCTCTCTGTGGCTTTGGCTGGTCTCACTCGTGTTTATGGTCATGTGGCAGGTCTGCTGGGGAACAGCTGGTCCCAGATGGCCTCACTCATATGTCTAGCTGTTGGCTGGAACATTTAGATGAGGTACCTTTGTTCTCCTCCATGTGGTTCCTCCCCCTAATTGGCTCAGGCTTTCTCTCTTAGCAATGTGGTTGCCAGAGGGTGGTGGTGCAAGCTTCATTTCTCTTGAGGCCTCAGCTCGGAAGTCGCCCACTTCAGTCCCACTGCTTTTGATTTCTCAAAGCAGCCACAAGGCCAGCCCAGATTCAAGACGTAGTAAAGCTACAGATTCCCTCTGCATCTGGATGGGCAAAGCTTCAACATCACACTGTGAAAGGAGATATGACAGAATAGAAAGAATTTAAAATGTAACTTAGTTATACTTAGAAGGTATGTATCAATATTTTACTTTAAATTCTGTAACTTTTGTATCTTGAATAAAAATCCCCCCACTCTAATTTCATAAAGATCTTACTTACTTTTTTTCTAAATTTATTAGAGTTTTTTTTTTTTTTTCTCTCTAGGACATTTAATCCAGCTGAAATTGATTTCTGCGTATGATGTGAACTAATCTCATGTTTTCTTAATGAGTAACAAGCTTTGTCAGTAGCATTCATTGACTGGTCCATCATTGCAGTGGTGGTTTGTGATGGCACTTTTGTCATATTTAGCAATAACATTGATTAAGCAGAATTCATGAGGCACCAGCAGGTAAGAAGAACTTTATTATTTTCTTCCAATGTGCTTTCAAACACATTCACTTCCCTACCTGCGTTTGGAACCAGCTATGGAAATATCAAGAACTGAGGCAGATAGATGTCAAAATATCAGCCTTCTTGCTGGATAAAAGCAGGATTAAAGGACATGACCTAGATGTTTAACATCAATGGGCTTGTTAACCCCGAGCTCCCAGAGAGACTTGCCAACCTACCCAGAGCTGCGCTCAACAGTCACATTTACTCTGAAGGAAAATTGCAATGTACTCTCCTGCTGGACTGGATGGACTAACTACTGAATGGAGACAGTGTGAGAGACAAAAAATGTCTGGAGAAAATTGTAATGCTTGAGTATAAACAAGTAAATGATGAGACTTTCTCAGATTTTTATCCAATGGAGAGGTTAACTTCATTTTGCCCTACATTATTGGAACTACTGTTACTAATAATCACAATAGCTAACCATTTCGAACACTTACCATGTGGCACCTACATTATTGGAACTACTGTTACTAATAATCACAATAGCTAACCATTTCGAACACTTACCATGTGGCAGGTACATTAAAAGCTTTTAACCGTCAAGTAAAATGTATAGGGTGTATTAGTCCGGGTGCTTTAAGGAGCAGACACTAAAACAAGATTAGGTGTGCAGGAGATTTACTAGGGGAAATTGCTGTGAAGGAAAATGAAGAAGAGTTAGAGGAGGCTGGGAGAGCCATCAGACCCCAGGTAAAGAAAGGAGGAAAGAACTGAAGATTTCGTGAAGAGTCTTTGCAGTGTCCATGCTAAGGTATTTTTCCAAAGCTAATGTGGAGTCTATCACTGGTATGTGACCACAAATGTAGTGACTTAAAAGAAAACAAATGTATTATCTTACAGTTCTGAGGTCAGAATTTCTAAAATCAAGGCACTGGTGAGGTCACATACCTTTTGGGGGTTTAAAGAATCCCTTTCCTTGCCTTTTCCAGAGTCTAGGAGCCACCTACATTCCTTGGTGTGTGGCTTCTCCATCCTCAAGTCCACCCCTCCCTGCACCATCTCTGACCGCTCTCTCTGTGATGACATCTCCTTTTTCTGATTCTGACCCTCTTGCCTACCTCTTAGAAGGACTCTTGTGACCATTTTGGGCCCACTGAGATAATCCAAAGTAATCTTCCTATTTCAAGATCCTTAACTTAGTCATATCTGCAAAATCTCCTTTGCCATGTAAATAGTAACAGGTCCTGGGGAATAAGACATAGGCATCTTTCAGAAACCATTATTTTGTTGGCCACAGAATCTTCAAGCTCAAAATTACTCATCAGAGGAGCCTCCACATCTTCCTGAAATGGGCTTCCCTTAACATCCCTGCTGTTCTTACTTGTCTGGGAGCAGCTCAGGGGAGGTGATGCCCTCACTGAACACACAATCAGAAAACTGGGAGGCTGATTTTCATGACCACCACGTGAGGTTAGCCGAGGAAACAAAAACATACTGAGGCTGAGTAACTTATGTGTGAATACAGAGCCAGCGGAACAATCTTTCTTTCTCTCCCACACAGTCCTTTTCTCCCTGTCTCTCTCTCTCTCAATCTCTCTGTCCCCTCCTTGTCTGTGTCTTAATCTCTGACTCTTCTCTTTTTGAATTTTCTGTTTTGGAGCCTGAACACATTGATTGTTTTTCGGTGGTGTTATAAAACTTGCTAAGTTTTCTCTGATTCTAGTAACTAGTTCACCAAATGGCAAATTATCAAAAATAATCTAAAATTATGGGGAAGTAGAATAAAGTCCCTCCATAGACCTGATTTGCCTCCTTTCACCGAGAGAATGTTATGGATAGGATGGATATGGAATAAATACCTTTGGTCCTGCATCTATGGCTAGAGTTTAATTTTAACATAATAGTGAATTATGCTTAATGATACTAAAAATTGGCCAGGAACGGTGGCTCATGCCTGTAATCCCAGCATTTTGGGAGGCCACGGTGAGTGGATCACTAGGTCAGGAGCTCAAGACCAGCCTGGCCAAGGTGGTGAAACCCTGACTCTACTAAAAATACAAAAAATTAGCTGGGCATGGTGGTAGGCACCTGTAATCCCAGCTACTAGCAAGGCTGAGGCAGAGAATTCCTTGAACCCAGGAGGCGGAGGTTGCAGTGAGCCAAGATCGCACCACTGCACTCCAGCCTGAGAGACAGAGCGAGATTCCGTCGTAAATAAATAAATAAATAAATAACAACTAAAATCTTGGTAACCAGGTAGCCCTGGCTGGTTCCTCAGTAGCAGCATACATCTTCGAATGCAGTACTGGGGATTCTTCAAGGGTTAATATGTATGGGCATCAAAAATATGTTGGTTCCTAGCCCAAATGTCCATCAATGATAGACTAGATAGAGAAAATGTGGCACACATACACAATGGAATACTATGCAGCCATAAAAAAGAATGAGTTCGTGTCCTTTGCAGGGACATGCATGAAGCTGGAAACCATCAAACTAACACAGGAACAGAAAACCAAACACCGCATGTTCTTACTCATAAGTGGGAGTTGAACAATGAGAACACATGGACACAGGGAGGGGAACATCACACACAGGGGTGGGGGGCAAGGGGAGGGAGAGCATTAGGACAAATAACCAATGCATGCAGGGCTTAAAACCTAGATGATGAGTTGATGGGTGCAGCAAACCGCCATGGCACATATATACCTATGTAACAAACCTGCACATGTATCCCAGAACTTAAAGTATAATAATAAAAAAAAAAAGTTGGTTCCAGAAGAATATGACTTTGACATAGCCTATTGTATATAAATAAACCTACTTACATGCTATATTATAGTAAATTTATTCATTCTGTTAAGCCTAAGTGGTTACATACTAGCATGACATCAATGCTAGTGATTATTTGTCATAATTCTAAAGAAGAAATTATTAGAATTCTAAATAATAGCTGTATATGAAGACATTTCCTCCCAAGAATTCAGGGAGTTTCTAAAATAAAGCCTCAGACAGACAAATCCAAATCAAAAACCTTTCCCTCTTTCATTGCTAGAAAAAGATAGTTTGTCAAGAAAAGACTCTGTGGAGAAATAAAGTGCTGAAAGTTATGAACATATGGTACTCAAGGGTTGAACATTTTTAAAAATGGCCTTACCATTAAGAAAATTGGCAGGAGACCTTACCATATTATTACACTATACTTTCTAATATATTCTTCTTCCAGATTAAACTCTAACCAATGATACAGGACCAAAGGTGTTTTATTTCATATCCATCCTTTCAATAAAAATCTCCACAAAATTTAAACACTGTAGCCAGTTACGTATCTAACGCATTAGACACACTGCCATTTCACATAGTGAAAATAGATATTTTTGGATGTTTATTTCATTTCAGAAGGACACAAATCTCAGAATCTGAATGACCCCATTTCAGTCTTTTTTGGGAAAGTTCCAAAGTAATGAATCAGTAGAAACGTTTAGAAAGATACTAAAAGGTTGGTTTCCCATTTTAAATGTGTACCTCTATTATAAAAAGATAGCAATTTCAAAAAATACGAATTAGGAGAGAAAAATCAATTTCATTTCTGGTAAAATCTGCAGTGTGTTTCTCATGAGAAAACAACAGAATATGGATTTTGGTTTTCCTCCTCTTTATTCTCCACAGGGACGCAATTTATTTCTTTACCCCCAAGACCTTTCCCCACTTTGATGTTCTTGGTGTCTGACCTCGACCTTTCCAGATGGAAGGATTGCCTGAGGCCTGAAAAGATTCTATTTCCCGGTTGAGGCTGCAGCATCTGCCCTCCTTTCTTAAACCATCAATGAGGCTAGAGTGAGAAGAGGAAAGAGAGGCGCTGTCGGTGGCATTCATCTTTACCCTACAGGGCTCATGCTTTTGTGTGTGTGTGTGTGTGTGTATGTGGTACACACAAATTGCTCCTTTAGAACCTGGAAGCTGAAAAAAAAAAAATGTATTTAAAGGAGTTCATTAACAAATATATCCTGGGCCACTTTTCATGCAGTGATTTCTTTTTACTAGTTATTTCAGTCTGATCTCTTATTTCATGCTGGAGATACATCAGAAAGAAACTTCTGGTCACAAATGTTGCTGACCTCAAATAAGGATTTAAGAGACCTAAATTTAAGCTATTTGGTGAATGCAAAATTTGATTCTCAAAATGAAAGGCTGTGTGATTTTTATGAGTGATCAACATTTATTATCTTACATTTTAAAAATATTTATTTTGATATATACTTATCTGATCCATTATATAACTGAAAAATCTCTTGGGACAATATATCATACATTAATATTTATTGTAGCTGCAATAGTAATAATAGCAACTAACACTGAACACTTAATATGGAAAGAACATGGTACTATGTGCATTATATGAATTCCCTTTTTAAATCCTTTCAACAATTCTATGAGGTAAATACTGTTATGCTGCTTAATTTACAGGTTAATCACTGACACAAAAGAGATAAATTTGCCCAAGGTCTCCCGTTTTGTAAATTGTAGAGTAGAAGTTGACATCAAATCTTTCTTTCCATGTTCTAAGCCATTATTTTATACAACTCTAAAGAATGTTATTGAATTTCTTCACAGACGTTCACAGAAAGCTTAC